TCCTGTGTCGTTCCTCCACGAAGACGGGGAGTGACAGTCAGCAACTTCCAGTGGAGTAGACATAGCCTTTGTTTACTTTAACATTTATTTATTTGAGAGGTACAGAAACAGAGAATGAAGGAGAGATAGAGAGATCTTCCATCCACTAGCTCAGTCCCCAGATGCTCACAACAGCTGGGGATAGGCCAGGCTAATGCTAGGGGCCAGGAACTCAATCATGGACTCCATGTGGGTGGTTGGAATCCAATTATTTGGGTCATCATCCGCTGCGCCCCAGGTGCACTAGCAGGAAGCTGGGTCATGGAATCTTACTTAAGCAACAATTAAACATTTAACTGATCATCACGTTAGTTTATCTTTGTAGCCAAATATGAAAATAACCCTTCATTCGTTTTTGTTTTTAACTCTTCTAGAACTATTCTTCCCTGAGCTTTACATGAGCTAACAATTACTTTTGGAGGTTTGTCCTTGAAGCACACACTGACAGTAGGGACACCTTAGATCAATTGTCAGGCCTGGGAACCAAAATCATTTGCCACGCACCAGGCACGGCTTTCCTCTCAGGCTTCCCCTAGGAGGACTTCCACATGTTTTCTTCACTGAAAATTTTGTTGAACAGTAGGCCAGGATGTTGATCTCTTATGAAACAGTCTAGAGAGAAAAAATTTAATCCTTTGGAAAGTATCCATTGGAAATTTTTTTAAAAAAGATTTATTTTATTTATTTGTAAGGCAGTTACAGAGAGAGAGGGAGAGACAGAGAGAGTCTTCCATCCATGGGTTCACTCCCCAAATGGCTGCAATGGCCAGGGCTGGGCCAGGCCAAAGCCAGGAGACAAAAGCTTCCTCTGGGTCTTCCATGTGGGTATAGGAGCCCAGGCACTTGGGCCCTCCTCCACTGCTTTCCCAAGTGCATTACAAAGGAGCTAGATTGGAAGTGGAGCATCCAGGACTCATGTGGGTGGCGATGTTGTGGGCCATGACTTTTCCCACAATGCCACAACACTGACTCCCTTGTTTGCTTTTATTTGTGAAATTTTGGTTTACATGAAATATTTCAACAGATATACACAGGATAAACCAACCAGGCAGTTAGCCCTTCCATTTCCTTTATTGTGGACTATAGTTACCCTACTGTTCTTTTTTTTTTTTTTTTGAAAGATTTATTTATTTATTTGAAAAGAAGAGTTACAGAGAGGCAGAGGCAGAGAGAGAGAAAGAGAGGGAGGTCTTCCATCTGCTGGTTCACTCCCCAAGTGGCTGCAACAGCAGGGCTGTACCAATCCAAAGCCAGGGGCCAGGAACTTCCTCCAGGTCTCCCACGTGGATGCAGGAGCCCAAGGACTTGGGCCATCTTTCACTGCTTTCACAGGCCATAGCAGAGAGCTGGATGGGAAGTGGAGTGGCCAGGTCTTGAACCGGCACCCATATGGGATGCCAGCACTGCAGACGGCAGTTTTACCGGCTACACCACAGGGCCGGCCCCTACCCTACTGTTCTATGGGACACCAGAACTCATTCCCTTCACCTGACTGTGTTTTGCTACCTAATATCAATCTCCTCCCACAATTCCCAGTGTCTAGTAATCACTATTTTAGATTAATATCATATATATACATATATATTAACCTCCACGTATGAGAGAAAACATGCAGTGTTTGTCCTTCTATATATCTGGCTTATTTCACTTAACTTAATGATCTTCAATTCTACCCATTTGGCTGCATATGTCAGAATTTTATTGCTTTTTATGGCTGAGTAATATAACATTGTGTATATCTACTACATTTTCTCTATTCATTCATCCATTGATAGCTAACTAAGTTGATTCCGTATCTTGAGTATTGTGAATAGTGCTATAATAAATAGGGGAGTCCAAGCATCTTTTTTTTTTTTTTTTTTTTTTGGACAGGCAGTTAGTGAGAGAGAGAGAGAGAGAGAGACAGAAAGATCTTCCTTCCGTTGGTTCACCCCCAAAATGGCCACTACGGCCGGCGCGCTGTGCCTATCCTAAGCCAGGAGCCAGGTGTTTCCTCTTGGTCTCCCATGCGGGTGCAGGGGCCAAGCACTTGGGCCATCCTCCACTGCCTTCCCGGGCCACAGCAGAGAGCTGGACTGGAAGAGGAGCAACCGGGGCAGAATCTGGTGCCCCAACCAGGACTAGAACCCAAGTGCCGGCGCCCCAGGCGGAGGATTAGCCTAGTGAGCTGCGGCGCCGGCCTCAAGCATCTCTTTAATGTACTTATTTTATTTCTTCCAGATAATATTCCCAGAAATGAGTATTCTGGGTTAAACAGTAGATCTAATTTTAGTTTTTGAAGGAGCCTTCATACTATTCTCCATAATGGCTGTACAATTTGCACTCCCACCAGCAAAGTATTAGGGCTCCCTTTTCTCCACATCCTCATCAGCATTTCTTGTGTGTTTTTTTTTTTCATCTTTTTGATAATAGTCATTCTAACTAGAGTGAGATGACACCTCATTATGGTTTTGTTTGCATTTTTCTGATGGCTAGTGATACTGAGCATTTTTTCATGTATTTGATGAATTTTTGTATTTCTTCTTTTGAAAAAGTCTACTTAGATTCTTGGCCAGTTTCTTAAGTGGGTGTTTTGTTTTTGTGCTGTTGATTTTTAGGGTTCCTTATCAATTCTGAGTATTAATCCTTTGTCAGATGCAGAGTTTGTGGACGTTTTCTCCCATTCTGTTGGTTGTTTCTTCACTCTGTTGGTTGTCTCCTTTGCTCTGCAGAAGCTGCTTAGTTTGATATATTTTTATCTATTTTTGTTTTTATTGACTGTGCTTTTGAAGACCTAAACAAAAAAATCATTGCCTGAACCAATGTCTTAAAATGTTTCCCTTTGTTTTATTTTAGTTGTTTTATAGTTTCAGGTCTTACAGTTCAGTCTTTGATCCATTTTGAGTTGATTTTTGTATAAGGCAAGAGGTAGGGTTCTTGTTTCAAACTTCTGCATGTGGAAATCCTGTTTTCTCAGCTCCATTTCTTGAAGAGGCTGTCCTTTCTCCAATGAATGCTTTTGGCACCTGTGTCTAAGATACATTGGCTATTGATGCATGGATTTATTTCTGTGTTGTTTATTTTATTTGTTTATTTCTGTGTTGTTCCATTGATCTATGTGTCTATATTTATGCCAGTACCATGCTGTTTTGGTTACAATCGCTCTGTAGGATGTCCGAAAATTTGGTTGTTGTAGTACATTCAGCTTTGCCCCTGTTCAAGATTGCTTTGGCCATTTGGAGTATTGGAAGGTTTTAAAATATAAATCTATGGACCAGCATTGGTGTTATAGTGGGTAAAACTGCCACCTATGGCGCCAGAATCCCATGTAGGCACCGCTTCATTTCTCAGCTGCTCCACTTCCAATCCAACTCCCTGCTAATGTCCTGGGAAAGCAATGGAAGATGGTGTAAGTGTTTGGGTCCCTCCACCCATGCGGGAGACCACAATGAAGCTCTTGGCTCCTGGCTTCAGCCTGGCCCAGTTCTGGCCATTGTAGCCATTTGAGAAGTGAACCACTGAATAGAGGATCTCTCTCTCTCTCTCTCTGTCTCTGTAACTCTGACTTTCATATAAAATAAACAAATGTTTATAAAAAACAAATAAAGCTATACTTTACTTAAGTATTTTTCCTAATGAACTAAAACAAACCAAGTTTAGATTGGCAATTGAGTGAGTATAAACTAGGTAGAACATCTTACTTCTTTCAGGTGGATTTAGGCATAGATGTGAATGTTTTATATGCAGTACAAACTCTCTTTGAATTGCTATATTTGATGCAGGTATACTTTATCATAATTCAGAATACTGACTGAATTATTTTCTTTTAAAATTCAAAAACCAATCTTCTTGATACATCTGAATCTCTTGAAACTCATTTCCATTTAAATTTCCATAAAGTTCAATAGTAGTTGTTTCTAGTTTCCTATGATTCTAATCTAGAGGGGCAGCTTTAAATTGATTTCTGGTTCAGTTATCAGCAAAGCAGGTTCCTATATATTTCTCAAATCTTAAATAACTTGCAAACATTGCAGTGAGTTTAGGCAATTCTTACTCTCTCTACTCTCCTTCAGTTTCTCCCTTGGGTTCTTTGTCTTCTTCTGTCCTGTCGCTCCCCCTCTTCGTGGAGGAACGACACAGGACCCTGCGCTGTTCTTTCGTCTGCTCGGCCCTCCCCGGGTTTGCTGCTGGTTCTTCCCGGGTTGGCTACTATCCCTTCCACCTCCGTGGAAGGGCAGTTCCCCCTGGCCACATTCCCCACTTCCGCAGGGGAGCGGCACACCGCCGGCCGGCTTTCTCGGGGGCTGCACAGGTGTTCCCTCAGATGTTCCCCTTAGATGTTCCTGGTGCATGCCGTCTCTCTCCTCCTTTATAGTCCTCCTCTGCCAATCCCAACTCGGCTGCCCACACGCCGAGTACGCTGCTCTCCTCCAATCAGTAGCAAGTCCTACAGTTTATTGGTTGAACTGGAGGCAGCTGTGCAGAAGCTGTTTTCTTCTCTCCCAGCGCCATATTGTGGGAGAGCAGATGCATAGAATAAGTCTTAATTCCAGCAACTCAGTCTAGTCCGGTTTGCTCCCCACATGTCCCTTCCTGATGACTGATTGCATGGGGGTGTTTATGAAGAAAAAGTCAAGAATTAGGGCCTGCTAAGAACAATTCAACTTTCTTTTTTCTCAAGGCTGACATGTCCCCTTCACAACACTGTCTCTCAGGTCAACCAATTTTTCTTCAGCCCTTGGCAAACGGTATTGTCCATGGTGTTAACTCTACCTACAGCGTGTGGCACATTCACCTTAACATGTAACAGTTTAGGGTAAATTGCATCCCAAGACCGTATATCTGCTGTGAGCGATTGTGGCTCTTACTTTGCCCTGGCTCAGGGTCTTGCTTAAAGGCTAGAGTAAAGGATGCCAAACGTGATGTGAATTCTTCCTTGAATTCTACCACAGAGCATCAATGTGTTCTTTTTGATGTCCTAGGAACCAAAGAGGTTGTGGTAAATGTGGATGATGATGGAGTCATTTCATTGAACTTTGAATGTGATCAGATGACTCCAAACTCAGAGTTCGTCTGGTCCAAAGATTATGTACCCACTGAGGACTCTCCACGACTGGAAGTTGAAAGCAAAGGCAGCAAGTAAGGACTGTGTCAATCATAATAATGGATTTGCTTTTCACTATCAAAGCATGAAAGTAAGATCTGCTTTCTATGTGAATCTCTTTCAATAACAAGATGAAGTCACAAATATTTTATAGCTGATTTTGTAAAAGTCATAACCAATATAAGCTTTAAAAATAAGAATCCTGATAAAATACTTTTCGAAGTTCTGGAAGTAAAATACATTTGATCAAAGAAAAGACAGTCAAACAATTATGCACTTAACATTTTAATGTTTGGTTGATATTAGACACTGGCTAGTGAAACAGCTTGTCCAAGTTAGAAAATACAGTGAACTAAATCATGAACTCTTTGTTTATTCCATATATTATGTGACAAACAAGGTAGTGGATGCAGGCGATACAACAGGAAACAACACATCCTGTCCCTGCATGCACAGTGACTGTACAGTGGGGACAATACCAGTGTAGTATAATAAATTCAGAAAGGGGACATGCCTGGGATGACCTAGGAGAAGCACCCAGAGTTACTCCTGCAAATTCTGTACTATAGGGAAAAAAATCAGGCTCCCCAGGAAGGACTGACAATTTAAATATCATTATGCAGCTGTTTATTAACATGAAATATAGGTTGGGGATGGAAGATTTTTACCAACCCCCTCCCATCACCTATCCTCTGAGAGAAGGTCAAGAAAGTCTTTCCAGAGGAAATGACATTTAACCTGAGATATCAAGAATCAGCAGGCTTCTAACTTGTCCTCAAAGAAAGAGGACAAGTGCTGCAAATGAAGGGGGAGCACATGCAGATGCCTAGAGACAGGGCAAAACACAGGTCTACAGACCCTGCCTAGCCTCGTATCTAAGGAAAATGCTTTGTTCTAAAGGACAAAAATGACCTTCAAAGACCTTGGGGAAGATGACTTGGGCATTTACTCTTGTGACGTAACAGACACTGATGGAATAGCATCGAGCTACTTAATTGACGAGGAAGGTAAGTTCAAAATTAGTTCATTCACAAGTCCAGTGTTGCTTTCATTTCTCAATAATTCTCAAGTGACTTTTGTTTTAGTAATTTAAGGTTTAATTGTTTTCTGCTTCCCTCTGCAGAACTGAAACGTTTACTTGCTCTCAGTCACGATCACAAGTTCCCAAGTAAGTGTTATAACACCTTCACAGATTTTAGGAGCCTTAGCAAGGGGCAACTTCCAGAGTGACCAGATGGCGTCTCTGATGGGAATAAGAGAAGAGGCAGTAGCCACAGCTACTTTATTTTCACAGGCACTTCACTTTCTAGAAGTGAAGCTTCTTTTTTAACATTGTTCTCCAGAGATACCGAGGATATTAACATAGAAAATATGTCTCATACTTCATAATATAGAGAAGTGTCAGGCTTACATGGGTGTAACAGCTGCATAACTAAGTTCTTCACTTCTTGCTTACATATTCTGAAATCATATAAACATCTTCTGGATATATTCATTTATATATCTTTTGGCTATTTCTTCTTAAATAATGCTGGCTCTTAATAGGAGAATCATGTTTCTAAATAAAGACAACCAGAAGATGGTATCTACCATTTTAACCTCTTGGAAAATAAGATAAAGATGACTCAGTCAGAGAAAGAAACCCTCTCTACTATCTACAAACCCTTTAATAATGCACCTTCTACCTGAAAGATTAATTCCACAGTTGACACCTTAGAGAAGAGAAGAAAGTCTGAAGTGAGACTCAGAAGGTTCCACTGGCCTGGCAGGATCTCTTGCCATTAGTGATGCATCCGGAAAGTTACCCCCTATTTTACTGATAAAATACACTCATTCTTGTAAAGCAAAAATTTTAAAGAATTCCTTAATACCTAAACTATAACTACTTCACTAAAAACTATCTAGCCCTATCCCAGACTGTGGGGAAATCTTTGTATGTTTGTATGTGTGCATCTTTCTAGGAAGAGAATCCCTAGCCTTTCCTAAGTTCTGAAGGGAGACTATGATTAAAAAGTCAGCGCTGCTCTAGAATCAGTTGCCTACCTTCTCTTACATTCTGGAGGAGTGATTCACTGGTGTTAAGGTCTACTGTTGTTGACAGTCTCAGCTGTAATGTTCTCAAAACTCACTGTGTTCAGCAGCATGGTGTGCCTATGGGGTGTGAATGTAGGGCATTGACTTTTTGAATTCTGGGGGAGAAGTATTCCATGGCATTAAGTAAGACATTTCTCACCTAAATGCGTATTCACCCTAAAATGGGTAAAGTAGTATCATGAGTGATGTTTTAAAAGTTAATTTTGAAAACTGCATGGAAGGCAGAGATTTGACTTAAATTTTGTTTGTTCTGTACTAAGCATCTTCAAAAAGTTCTCGGAAAATGTGTATCATGAAAACACTAAATGTAGGTTTCAAAACTTTCTTGCACCAAAATAAACATATTTAAATTTTATTTTCCCATGATTTTTTAAGATTAATTTATTTATTTGAAAGTCAGAGTTCAACAAGAAAGGGAGACAGAAAGGAGAGAGGTCTTCCATCCTCTGGTTCAGTCCCCAAATGGCTGCAATGGCCAGGGCTGAGGCTGAAGCCAGGAGCCAGGAGTATCATCTGGGTCTCCCACATGGGTACAGGAGCTCAAGGACTTGGGCCATCCTCCACTGCTTTCCCAGGCACATTAGCAGGGAGCTGAATCAAAAGTGGAGCAGCTGAGATATAAATTGGCGCCCATATGGAATGCTGTCATTGCAGACATTGGCTTATCCTGCTGCACCACAGCACTGGCTCCCTTCCCATGAATTTGTGAAGTACCCACATACTTTTGCCTGACTGTGAAACTGAACAGCTCACTTCTGTTTCCCTGTGCCTTGGTTTCTTTTCTAGGAATGGCTATTGTCATAGTTTATAGCACCTACCACCTACAGATGCTATAAGAGATAATAAACAAGGTTTTGGTAGATCCTTGACATCTAACATTGATTAAAATAGAACAGCAATCCCAGAAGAACCCACTGCTCAGAGAAGAACTGTCTCCAAGCCACAAGGAGTCTTTCTGCTGGGATAAATAGAAACAACAGTGACTACGAACTATTGTCTTCTGGTTAGATAATAAGCACTAGTTAAGTGTCTAGGCAACAGCTGGTTCAAATAACATTTACATTTAGCTTAAAGTATGTAGACGAAAGAAGACAGGGTGTCACTGTTGAGCTCAAGTTGCCTGGGCCTCCCTGGAGTTCAATGATTTCATGGACTTGGAGATGGGATTAATTAAGGCAGTAGTGATTGCCTGATGCCACGATTATTTACACGGAGATGTTCTGTTTTGCATAAATCTAAGGACTCTAATTGCTGGTCTTAGGCTGGGGGTAGCAGCAATCAGCTCTTCTATGAGAGATCCACAGTAGCAGTTTGGTAGGCACTGAAGAGAATCCAAGAATAGATTTAAAATCATGACAGGCAAATGTGGTATCTCCCAACCCAGTGCTGCCCATTGACATGGCATTTTAAAGATGACAGTTCTAGTACTTTTCTTTCCCCTACCACTATCAGACTAATGAGCTCAGTATATGAATATTTTCCAAGATCTTATAAGGTCAAAGCAGCTTAACTAACTTCTCAATTTTTACCCACTTTCTCTTAGTAAATGTTGCCTTACTAAGTCATTTTCCTGAGATTCACTTAAGCTTTTAAACTGTCCCATTTCTTCAGAATGCAATAAAGAAGCTGGTGTTCCCTTATCCTTTGGCATGATAAATTCTCCCATGATAAGCTGTTTTCAAAAATATTTTAAAAGCCACTAACACATCCATAAACCTACAATTAACATGTTTTCCTAGAGCAAAGTGACTGCCAAAAGAAGAGTCTAAGGAAATTTACAGCTGAGAAAAAGGGAGAAAAACAGTAGAAAGCTAAAAATAGAAAATAACCTAGTATGTTTTCAGTATTATGTGAAGTTGCAGATTGGAGAGGCAGCTTATTGGAGAGCAGTACTTCAGTGTTGTGAACATCCTGCATCATCTCTCTGCATTTGTAGACGTTGGTTATTAGCTTGCTTGTGTACATATACTATACATGTGCAAATATATACAAGAACACAAAAACAAATATAGTTGTATTTGTATTTGCCCTTGTTTGTCAATGTATTATATTTTACAGTTGGAGGTTGTAGGATGTTGTTATAGCAACTGGAGGAAAAAAGAGATGCCAAATTATTAATAGCCAACATTTGTTATAGGCCAGCATCTTTATAGGACATTTAAATGGATTTATCATTTGAACTCCACAACGGCCTTTAAATGGTCAGTCTTATGGTGATTTGATTTTAGAGATGAAGAAAGTGAGGCCCAGAGAGGTTAAGAAAGTAGACCAAGGCACACAGCTGGTGAAGCCCAGGTGGTTTGATTCTGGAGCCTGTTGCTTTGCCCACATCGTGGGCTGGCTGTCTCCATGCATGCACCTGCCATGTGCCCTCTGAGTGATGCATAGAGGCCAGCATTCTCCAGATGATGTTTTCATGACTTAAGAAGGACAGTGAGTATTAAGGACACTTCCAGAAGGGCCCACCCTGCCCTTTCCATCACCTCTCCAAGCCTGTCAGGTAACCACGTCATTCATATATTAGGTTCTCCAGATTGGGATCTCCAGACTTTTCCAGAAGAGATTGTACTGTCCACTCTCCTCAAGAGCTGCTTGTCATAAGCATGAATGTCCTGTTGGGAGAAAGCTTAGCCTCTGCTGTTGGCACCTGGGGATCTGCCTTTTAACCACTTTACTCACCCTGGAAAACCATCAGTGTTCTGCAGAGTGCACAGTCAGGACCAACAGGAATACAGAATACAGGGAAGACCCCTGATTTCAGCTCTGCTACCCGCAGGGGCCTCTCTGCAGGGAAATTAGGGGAAGAGAACCAACCGTGAGTCCTGGTCATTGCAGAGGATCTGAATGTGTCCTGCCCCATTCTGACTCTCTGGCTAGTCCTGTGAGACCTGTAATAGCCATGTTAGCAGGTGGGGAGCCCAGGGGTTAAGGGGCAGAGTAACTCTTCAAGATTATGGTGGATTACAAAGCATGTCCTCAGTAGCTGATGTCTGAGTTTCCTCTCAGTTCTGAACTGCAACGAATCTATAACTGAATGTTACAGTAAATAAGGAATAAAGCAAAGGAAAGACATCCCTTGAAACTTGAATAGGCTAGTTTTAGGATAAATACAAAGAAATAGTAATGCATATTTGGTACAAGCTCAGAAACTTGCAGTGTAAAATATAGCACGTGCTAAAATTTTGAAAAGTTTAAGAACAATTCAGAAAAAGTAAAGGGTGATAATTTCTCCTAAAGGAAGGCAGGGACTGATTTTGAGAGATGTCAACCAACATTTTAAATTTTAAGTGATACAGGCATATATCAGAGATACAATATGGTTCCTTTGCTTGCTATATGTAGAAAGGCCTGCTGTATTTTAAGATAGCTTCTTGATAGTGATTCCTTTATTTGCCTCTGAAAATTTTTCCTTGGTCCTGGAACTAAAGTGAACTGATACATTGTTGGGTTGAGTAGGATTTAAACGACTAGACAGTTTGTCTTGTATATACACAGTCATCCCTCAGGACCCATGAGCAATGTGTTTCAGGACCTCCCAACAAGATACCAAAGTCAGTGGATATGCAGGTCCCTTATGTAAAATGGTGTGGTATTCGTATATCATCTATGCATGTCCTCCTATACACTTTAAATCCTCTCCAGATGACTTATAATACCTAGTACAATGCAAATCCTGTGTAAATTGGTGCAAATTTTGGGAATACTGACAAGAGAAAGAAATTTGTTCATGTCTGGTACAACTGCAAATATTTTTCCAATATTTCCAAACCATGGGGTGTTGATCTAGAGATACGCAAACTATAGATATGGAGGGCCAATTGCTTCATCAAAATTCTTATGTAAAATTTTTAAAGGACCCTCAAAGAGAGGTAAATTATTTGGAAAAAATCTAGTTTAACTCCTTTCTAAATATTTTGAAGTAATTAAGTTATTAAATCCTATAATATTAGAACTGTAAAATCATTTAATGTTTATTTAATTCCATTCACTTATAGATAAGTCAACTGAGGCCCAAGCAACACAAAGTGACCTGCTGATATCACAGTTTGTCTCTAGCAGACACTGGACTAGAATCTAGCTCTCATGGTACCAGCTCAGGATTCTATTTTGCCCCTGAAGAACATTGGTTCTCAGTAGAGAGTCACAGAGTTGAGTTAGAAGTATCCCTAGTGGCAAATTCATCTTCCTCATTTTTGGGGGGGGGGGACAGGCAGTTAGTGAGAGAGAGAGAGAGAGAAAGGTCTTCCTTCTGTTGGTTCACCCCCAAAATGGCTGCTACGGCCGGCGCGCTGTGCCTATCCGAAGCCAGGTGCCAGGTGCTTCCTCCTGGTCTCCCATGGGGTGCAGGGCCCAAGTACTTGGGCCATCCTCCACTGCCTTCCCGGGCCACAGCAGAGAGCTGGCCTGGAAGAGCAGAAACCGGGACAGAATCTGGCGCCCCAACCGGGACTAGAACCTGGTGTGCCGGTGCCGCAGGCGGAGGATTAGCCTAGTGAGCCGCGACGCCAGTCCCTCCTCATTTTTACAGTTGAGGCAACCGTAATTCAGGTCAACAACTTGTCTGAATGCCGGTCTCAGGATGAGAGTCCTTGTCTTCTGTTCCTTAACCTGAGCTCAGCCTTTCCAGCAACCGCCACTAGGGCTCGTGAGAAGCAGGGTGCTACATCGCCATTTCCATCGACTATTTTCATTTGTTGGAAAATGCGTATCGATATAATGGTTATCAATGTAATTACTCACATTGTTATTTTTTACTTACATGTTTATTTTTATTTTTTCATAGCTGTTCCAGCCAAATCAGAGTTGGCAGTTGAAATCTTGGAGAAAGGGCAGGTCCGGTTTTGGATGCAGGCTGAAAAGCTATCTGGCAATGCCAAAGTCAACTACATATTTAATGACAAGGAAATTTTTGAAGGGCCGGTAGGTGTTACATTTTAGATTTTTAAATATATCATCATGCAACACACTGTGCTTCAGCCTTATTAGGATGCAAAGAAATTATCATGAAAAGCACTCAGCAGTGGGGTGGGGAAGTTTAACTCATTCTCACATGTTAAAAAGTGTGAATTGGGGCAGGCACTTAGTGCAGCAGTTAAGATGCCATTTTGGGATGCCCACATTCTGTACCAGAGTGTCTGGGTTTGAATCCTGGCTCCTCTGCTTCCAATTCCACCTGCTAGCTAATGTGCACCCTGGGAGGCAGCAAGTGATGATTTAAGTAGCGGGGTCCCTGCCACCTTCATTGGAGACACAGATACAGTTCCTGGCTCCTGGCTGCAGCCTTACCTAGCCCTGGCTGTTGCAAGTATTTACGGAGTGAACCAACAGGTGGAAGATCTCCCTCTCTCTTTCTCTCTCTCTTCCCCTTCCTCCCTCTCTCTTTTCCTCCCTCAATCCTCTCTTGTTCCATCTTCTGTCCCTTTCTTTCAAATAAATTTTGAATATTTAAAAAATATTTCAATATGAAAGGAAAATACAAATTTGCTGTATCCTATTATTAAAACTGGGACCCTTGTGAGAATGAAAGGGAATTCTATTAATAATTTTCCCAGGACAACAGTCATGAACCAAACAGGCAAATTAAGATGCATGAGGTGGCCGGCGCCGTGGCTCAAAAAGCTAATCCTCCACCTTGCGGCGCTGGCACACTAGGTTCTAGTCCTGGTCGGGGTGCCGGATTCTGTCCCGGTTGCCCCTCTTCCAGGCCAGCTCTCTGCTGTGGCCAGGGAGTGCAGTGGAGGATGGCCCAAGTGCTTGGGCCCTGCACCCCATGGGAGACCAGGATAAGTACCTGGCTCCTGCCATCGCATCAGCGCGGTGCGCCGGCCGCAGCACGCCAACCGTGGCGGCCATTGGAGGGTGAACCAACGGAAAAGGAAGACCTTTCTCTCTGTCTCTCTCTCTCTCTCACTGTCCACTCTGCCTGTCAAAAAAAAAGAAAAAAAAGATGCATGAGGTACGTCAAAAAGTTTGTGGAAAATGGAATTAAAAGGTAGTTTGGGCAGGCGTTTGGTGAAGTGATTAATATGACACTTGAGATGCCTGCATCCCGGGTCAGAGTACCTGGGTTCGTAGAGAGTGGAATTAGGCCCTCCCGGGGCCCTGTTGCAGCCCCCAGCCCCTCCCCAGGCTCTGAGAGTGCCTGGGTTCAAGACCACTCCTTGCTGCAGCTTCCTGCCAATGCCCTGAGAGGAAGCAGGTTATCACTCAAGTAGCTGAGCCAGTGCCACCCATGTGAAAGACCTGGACTGAGTTTTGAATTCCCTTTCTTCTGGTCACCTGTAATAGAATCGCTCTCCTGGGGAGGCAAAGGAGCCAATATCCTTTACCTGTATTCACATCATACACCTACAGCCCAATAAACAACATCGGTTACTATCAGTCCTCTCAAAAGCCAGAGTTTTATATGTTTTTAATAAATTGTTAAAAAGTTGCAGTTTATTGACATCAGAAATCCCAGTAGAAACTTGACATAGTATGTGAAAAAAAAAAGTGGCCTCTTGTTCCAAAGGCTCAGAAAAATACAATACGAATATGTATCAATGCTTTCCTGATTGCAAATGCAATGCATTGGGGCCAGCGCTGTGGTGTAGTAGGTAAAGCCTCTGCCTGCGGTGCTGGCATCCCAAATGGGTACCAGTTAGAGTCCCGACTGCTCCATTTCCGATCCAGCTCCCTGCTAATGGCCTAGGAAAGCAGTGCAAGATGGCTCAAGTACAAGGGCCTCTGCACCCATGTGGGAGACCTGGAATAAGCTCCTGGATCCTGGGTTTGGATCAGCCCAGCTGTGGTGACTGTAGCCATTTGGGGAGTGAACCAGCAAATGGAAGACCTCTCTGTCTCTCCCCTTCGCTGTCTGTAAATCTTTAAAAAAAAATAAAATAAAGAGATAAAGGGACTGAGGAACAAAGAGGCTGAGTGACTCACCCAAGGTCACACAGCAGGGCAGAGGAAGAGTGGGGACTCAGACCAGGCAGTCTGAAAACAGAGCCTTCCCTCTGTGTAGCAGACCCACCCCAGGTACCACCACTCTGCCTGGCTTTTCCTGTGCCTAGAAAAAAGAATGTAATATATTGTACTGCAAAAACTGTAGATTCAGAAATGACAAATCACACATTTTATATACATGTTGGCATATGACATTTGAACTTCACACTTCTATGGGTGTACACATATATCAGCATCTTATTTACATAGATGATTATACATATGTAAAATATTTCCTTTGTCTTTGACATAAACAACTATTTATAGATAGAGTTACAACATCTGAGCTGTTTGTCCTCTACATAGACATCAGTAGGGTCATAATCAGGCCAGCATCCAGTGGTACTGAAGGGCTTGGGTTGAGGGGCTCTGGCCCTCCCCTGTGCTATCATGGATGTAAATGAGAAGCTGAAAGATGGACGAGGTATGGTTTATTATGGTTTATGGATATTATTAGCAACTCTTTCTTTTTATTGAGAAATATGTATACACATTATAATTATATATTTATATAACATATGATATATATTTCTCATATATACATATATATGATATATAATGTATTTTTTACATTTGAGAGGCAGAGAGAGACAAACAGACAAAGAGCTCCCATCTGCTGATTCATTCCCCAAGTGCCTACAAGGGTCAGGGCTAGGCTGGGCTGAAGCAAGAGCTAGGAGTTCAGTCCCAGGTCCCCACATGGGTGGTTGAGATCCAATGACTTGAACCATCACCTGCTGTCTCCCAGGGTGCACATTAGCAGAGAGCCGAAATGGGCAGCAGAGTCAGCACTCAAACCCAGGGACTCCAGCATGTGAAGCAGGTGTTCCCAACTGGGTGTCTTAGCTGCTAGGCCAAATGCCCACCCCAAGATACATTTTTAAAACATGTGAGGATTAATTTGTAAGGAGGGATATGAGCAACATAAAAAGGAGAAGAGTGTACAGTTGTTCCTTTTAAATACATACAAGGGACTTCAAGAAGTTCATGGAAAAGTAGAATTAAAAGATAAGCTCATTTTGGGAAGGGAGAAGGAGTAGGAGGTGAGACAGTTTGGGGTTGGGAGGGCGGGTATGGGAGGAAGAACCGCTATAATCCAAAAGTTGTACCTATGAAAATTATATTTATTAAATAAAAGCTTTCTATAAAAAAGATAAGCTAATTTTTATGTAAAACATTTTGAAATACATGCACATTTTAAAATAATACATATTTGCATTGAACTTTTTGAAGACAAACCTCCCTCATCCCAGAGTAGTAACTTTGCGTAGAGCCTGAACAAATCACTCATGCACCCACTGTGGCCCATCTCCTCTCTCCATTCAAGAAGTTCTCATCATCAGCCCTTAAGGCATGCGGATCCGGCTGAAAAGCCCATGAGAGTATTTCAGGCATGGAAAGCCAAGACACTCTGGGGAAAAACAAACCTAAATGAAAGATCTCTGAGAGTGAGATCCCAGTGGAAAGAATGGGTCATCAAAGAAGGAGGTACCTTTCTCTGAAGGGAGGAGAGAACTTCCACTTTGACCATGGCCTTGTCTAAATATGATCAGAGTCGGTGAACTCAGGGGGCTTCCATAGCCTTGGCAACTCATGACAAGAGCCTAGGGTGATTACTGAGGCCATAAACAAGAGTGTCAATTTGTTAAGTCAACAACAGGAGTCACTGTGCACTTACTCCTCATGTAGGATCTTTGTCCTTAGTGTGCTGTACATTGAGATTTAATGCTATAACTAGTACTCAAACAGTATTTTTCACTTTATGTTTCTGTGTTGGAGCAAACTGTTGAAATCTTAATGTATGCTAAACTGATCTTCTGTATATAAAGAGAAACGAAAATGAATCTTGATATGAATGGAAGGGGAGAGGGAGTGGGAAAGGGGAGGGTTGTGGGTGGGAGAGACGTTATGGGAGGGAAGCCATTGTAATCCATAAGCTGTACTTTGGAAATTTATATTCATTAAATAAAAGTTTGAAAGCAAAAAAAAAAAAAGAAGAAGAAGAAGTTCTCATCAGTTGCTATAATCACCACCTGGCCTGGGGAGAGGAAGAAAATGCATTGTTGGCATCCCTCTCTGCCCCCATAGCCGCTGCATGAACATCACACACTCTCCCTGCCACGTGTTCAAGTATGCAGTATCCCACCTTCTGTTCTATGGTAGGTTCCCTAGGTGGAGGGTTTGAAATAGTTTCTCATTCTCGTGGCTTATAGGGGAGTACTTTCAGGGGAAAATGGGTAATGGAAGCAGGCTGGGGTAGGGCAAATCTAAGCGAAAATGAGGTCTCAATTGGAGATCGGCTTCCTGTAGGGGAGACCCTAGAGTCCAAATTAAGACACAGAGTTGATTCCAGGTTTGAATTTCCATTCTGTGACGTTGTATAGAAAAACTTCATCAACTCAGATCCATTATGGAATTTGTGTTTCTATGCTCAGCTACAAAAATTTACCTTTACACTCTGAAAAAATGTTGCCTAAACTGTGGATAAAATAAGCACAGTCTACCAGGGCCATTGCAGTTCATTAAAAGCAAATGGATTTCCAATGCTTCAGAAGCATTTTTCTATTCACATATTAATTCAGTAGGTATTTATTAATTGCTTACTGTTTATCATGCATGTGCTAGATGCTAAGAGTATAGCAATGAGTGAGACAGACACATCCTTCCTTCTTCCTATAGTTTTATATTATTGTGCTAATTAAAAATAATTAATTTGGGGCAGGTATTTGGTACAGTGGTTAAGAAACCTCTTGGGTTCCTTTTGTTCCATAGCAGAGTTCCTGGTTTAAGTTCCAGCTCCTCCACTCTGATTCAGCTTCCTGCTACTGCAGCCGAAGGAGGCAGCAAATGATGACTTTTATACATTTTAGCCATCCGGTTTATACAAATATTCCACATAGCATTTTCCTTTTCCCAGGTACAAGAAATTAAAGAACTTTCTCAGTTGTCAAGAAATTTGATTAAAATTGCAATTCTTTAAGGTTTGTTTCATTAGGCTTATTAACATGAATGTAAAATGTCTACCTCTTGGTCTTTTCCTTTCCACATTGAAGAAATACAAAATGCATATTGACCGAAACACTGGCATAATTGAAATGTTCATGGAAAAGCTACTGGACGAGGATGAGGGAACGTATACTTTCCAGATTCAAGATGGAAAAGCAACTGGCCACTCTACTCTTGTTCTCCTTGGAGATGGTGAGAATTCTATAGATCATTAGCTGGAAGACTTTGTTACTGCCTTCATTGCAAATATCCCGTGACGTAAAAAAGGTCATGTAAAGGGTAGTAGAAATTGTTTCTTGATTGAATTCTAATGTCCAAGATACAATTTTACAGTTAATGCTTTTCATAGAATTTAATCTCATAGAAATAAAAGTTAACTTAAAGAAACATAATATTTATCCCTGGCAAGACTGCATGTAGATAGTTTCATATACAAATTAATATTATTAAAATTCTCCAGTGAGGAAGGTTGCAATACAACCAACACTATATATATCTCAGAAATGAGCAATGATACTGGTTTATAGTGTGTGCTTGCTTTAAATTACTTAAATTGAGAAGAAAATGTGCAGAAGTAGTACGTGCTGAATCTATTAATCATACATTATAACTAGATTATAGTAAGTCAACTGCCATTAAAACCATCAACATTTAAAATATGGCATTTGACTAGCAGTGCAAAGGCTGACCAGGCCTTTGCATTCACAATCTCCAAAATCATGTCACTGTTTCCTACCTTTATGACCTTGATTGACATGACCTTACTTTCCAAGCCTACTTTTCCATTTGTCAAGATGAAAATGGGTAGGGTCGTCCCAATGTATGAGTATTATCTTAATGAATATAAACCACTTCGCATGTGGCTGGCACCTGCATCTCTGCTGCTCAACTCAGTGTCATAATTCCTTGTTTTTCAATTTCTAGTCTATAAAAAGCTCCAGAAAGAAGCTGAATTCCAGCGGCAAGAATGGATTAGGAAACAAGGTAAGAATAGGCAGTGAGTAAAGAGGAAAATTTCAGTTTTTAGTACAAAATATTCCAAGATCATTTACACAGTAAATTAAAATGTGCATTACCATGTTAACAATATGTAGCAAATAAAAATAATTGAAAATATTTTATATTAAACATGTGGATATTAAAAGCACTTAAAAACTAAATCAAGAATTTTAAAAATTTGACTCATAAATCACCTATGGACTTAAAAATGAGCTTTGATTTTGCATTGATTAACAAACTAATTGCCGGTATAATTTAAAATTTTATAGGTCCACATTTTGCTGAGTATTTGAGCTGGGAAGTGACTAATGAATGTAATGTACTATTGAAATGCAAGGTAAGATATGGTTAAATCATTAATGCAAATGAAATAAAGATAAAATATAATGTAATGATGAGGAAGATGGAATTTTCAGCTCCTTCATTTGAACCAAAATGATCAGCAATACATTCTTACTGTTGAATGTTACTGTAACCATTGGTTGGCAAGAAATATTTAAAATAAAATAACATAAAAATATTGGAACATGATGATTGTTCATTATTTGTTACCCATGATCTAGTTATGTAATTATAGGTTGAATATTCCTTATCTGAAAAGATTAGGAGCAAAAGTATTCCAAAGTTTGGATTTATTCATATTTTGGAATTTTTCCATATACATGAGATAGGTTGGGAATGGGACCCACATCTAAACACAAAATTCATTTATGTTTCATGATATATATATTGAAGGTAATTTATATAATAGTTTAAATAATTTCAAATATTAAACAATATTCCTTGGTGTAGAATTTTCCTCTGGTGGTGTCATGCAAGCACTCATAAAGTTTCAGATTTTGGATTTCAGATTAGGGGTGCTTGACCTACATTCACCTCTAACACTCTGACATTGATTTTGTTTTAGGCCAAATACGCATTCTAAGTGGTAGGTCTATTCCAGAATCATGCCAGCTACAGTGTTTTCCTGTGGAATTTTCTATCTAAATTGTGCAACTGGCGCAGCAATCCCTTTGTGCACTGGCAGGGTGTACTGCTATTCTGAACCATTGTGCTGCCTACAGGGGAGAGGCTTAGTAATGAGTTTGCAGCTCACAGCCAATTGTCTTATTCAGTCCTTCAGAAGTTTTTAGAAAAAAAATTCTGTGTAAGCATTCTAAAGCTATTTTGCATCTTAGTGTATGGTGCTTAGCTGAGTGATTCATCAAAAATGTTTTGGATAAGGAATGGGTGGATGAGGTTGCAGTATGGAGGTCACGGTGGCTGACAATGACTCAAACGCAGAAGCATGGACTTAGCTTTGGCCATGTAATTGTCCTTAGAAACCCAAGTGTTTCAGTCTCTACTAAGTGTGATAAATTCAAAGAAACTGTACTTTATAAAAAATGTATAAGAAAGCTTAATTTTAGATTTTACCTTGTCAGGAAATGACAGAGCCTCTTGAAAATCTTTTCTCAGAGAAAAACTAACACCCTCACTGTCTGTCAGCCTGGCTGCCCACTGCCATGTCGCCCCCACTCTCTGCTCCACACTGCCCCTCCCCATAAACTGCCCCTTTCCCAGAAGACTGCAGGTCCCTGCGCCTCCTACACTACCTGTTACCTTCTGGGAGGTGAACTCTGTTATCCTGTTTCCATGGATTTCCTCATAAGAACCAACCCCTTCTCCAGATTCTGAACAGCCAAGAGCAGCCTAAAATGGGTTATGAATATCTGCCCAGAATGTACTTATTCTGCTGTTCAAGGCCTGAAATGATCTTCTTTCAGCTTCTCTGACAAAATCCTTCTTCAAGGCCTGGTTCAGCCATCTCTATAAGGCCTACCCCTTCTCAGTCAGGTAGAAAGAGCCTTCCTTTGTCCTCCCATGGCCATTTGTTACCTATTATAGCAGCTGTGTACATTTAGCAGTTTCCTCACCAGATTATAGTTCATGGAGTATGTGCAGCTAAACATTCAGACTCACAGGACTGTCACAGACCCCACCTGGCACTAGTATACTCAAAAGGATATAAGAAGGGTAGGTGTCATGGCACAGCAGGGCAAGCCACTGCACGGGATGCCTGCATCTCATATGGGAGTGCCTGGGTTGGAGTCTCAGCTCCACTTCCCATCCAGCCTCCTGCTAATGTACCCTGGGAGGCAGCAGGGGATGGTCCCTTCAACCCACATGGGAGACCTGGAGGGAATCACAGGCTCTTGGCTTTGGCCTGTCCCAAACACAGCTTTTATGGGCATTTGGAGAGTGAACCAAGCAGATGGACAATCTGTCTCTCCCTCCCTCCCTGTCACTCTGCCTTTCAAATCGATCAATCAATAAGTAAAACTTTTAAAAAAAAAGGATAGAAGAGCTGGGCATTCCTCTCCTGCAGGTGCCCACCTAGGCAGCTATTCCCTTTGCCACCTACAATGACAGCTCAGGTACAAGGAGACAAGAAGTGCATTGGACATGTGGCATTGTGACTTAAAGCAACCTCATGTCTGGAGGACCCACCACTTATTTTTTTAAAAATATTTATTTGTTTATTTGAAAAGCAGAGTTACAGAGAGGCAGAGGCAGAGAGAGAGAGGGGGGGAGGGAGATCTTCCATCCACTGGTTCACTCCCCAAAGGCCGTAACAGCTGGAGCTGTGCTGATCTGAAGCCAGGAACCAGGAGCCTCTTCCAAGTCTCCCAAGTGGGTGCAGGGTCCCAAAGACTTGGGCCATCCTCTTTGGCTTTCCCAGGCCATAGCAGAGAGCCGGATCAGAAGTGGAGTATCCGGGACTAGAACCAGCGCCCATATGGGATGCTGGAACTGCAGGCAGCAGTTTTACCTGCTGTGTCACGCCGGCTGCAGGATCCACTACTTTTAACAGTTCCCTAAGGAGAGTTTCCAGGATCCACACAAGGGACATGTCCAAATTACAAGAGTTAATGTACTTCTCAAAGTCCAAAGCATTTCCAGTTCTTCCCAGTCCAGATGTAGCTTTCCAATCAGGTCATTTTTTTTTTATCATAAACAATGTCCCCTAGTAACCCAATTACTTTCTATAATCCAGGACCCAGTAAATGGGGCAATGAGGAACACTTGTGTGTAATGATTTCACTAAATTTGCTTCTTATGTTTGTTTATTAGCTGATATTTTTTAGCATTTTAATACTTGAATAGTCTTCTTTAAGAGGAGATAAAACATTTTCTTCATCTATTTGTTTTATAACAATTTCTTCTTGAAGAATTTTATTTACATTTCACCAATTATTTAGTGGGGAATTTGGGATTGTTTTCTTGATTTTGCCTATTAGAAACAAATGAATATATTCTCCTTTGTAAAAAAATTTTAAACATTGTAGATATTACTCAAGATTCTGTTAACTATTGAGGTCATTTACTTCATTTGAAATTTATGATAGGGGCTGGCACCGTGGCTCAATAGGCTAATCCTCCACCTAGCGGCGCCGGCACACCAGATTCTAGTCCTGGTCGGGGTGCCGGATTCTGTCCTGGTTGCCCCTCTTCCAGGCCAGCTCTCTGATGTGTCCCAGGAGTGCAATGGAGGATGGCCCAAGTGCTTGGGTCCTGCACCCGCATGGGAGACCAGGATAAGCACCTGGCTCCTGCCTTTGGATCAGCGCAGCACGCCAGCCACGTTGGCCATTGGAGGGTGAACCAACGGCAAAGGAAGACCTTTCTCTCTGTCTCTCTCTCTCTCTCACTGTCCGCTCAGCCTGTAAAAAAAAAAAAAAAAAAAGAAAGAAATTTATGATATGATATATATGAATTCACATCTAAATAAATCCCAATATTGTTAAGCAATTAATTTTGTTCAATTTTTATATATTTATTTGAAAGAGTTACACAGAGAGAGAGGGAGAGGCAGAAAGAGAGAGAGAGAAAGAGAGAGAGAGGTCTTCCATTCCCTGGTTCACTCCCCAGGTGGCCACAATGGCCGGAACTGCGCCAATCCAAAGCCAGGAGCCAGGAGCTTCTTCTGGGTCTCCCATGTGAGTGCAGAAGCCTAAAGACTTGGACCATCTTCTGTTTATTTCCCAGGCCACAGCAGAGAGCTGGATAGGAAGTGGAGCAGCTGGGACTTGAACCAGCGCCTATATGGGATGCCTGCACTGTAGGTGGTGGCTTTACTCACTGTACCATAGCGCCAGCCTAACAATTAATTTATTAAACCATATTTTTCCATGCCTCATTTATGTTTGATTAAATTTTTAGGATATAGACAAGGGGCTTACTCATCCTGTTCCTTTAATGAAGCCATTTGTTTTTGTGGCACCAATTGTATTTTAATCTTATGGAATTCGTATACCTTTGGTTTTGAGATTTTTATTTAAATGTATAGGTTTAAATTTAAATGTATAGGTTAGTATGTATATATCTATTCTTTCTTTTCTCATTTATTGCTATAAATAGAGATGCAATTTATTTAGATTTATTCATTGGTATCTACTTTATTTTAAACTCTTTTCTTGATTAAAATAGCTTTCAATTGATTCTTTCCAAAATCTGAGCTCAGGGCTTTTTCTTGTATACCTTGCTGCAGTTAGAATTATCTGGTTTCATAAGAGTAACATTTTCTTATTTCAACAAGGACAATTATGGCTTTTTTATAGGTAGCAAATATTAAAAAGGAGACTCACATTGTGTGGTACAAGGACGAGAGAGAGATATCAGTGGATGAAAAGCATGACTTTAAGGATGGTATATGTACCCTGCTTATAACAGAGGTAGGTAATTATAAATCTGAAATGTGACTTATTAGCTCTACAGCCTACATTCTCCTCCAGAGACTAGATTCTGTATTCTTCTCGTGCTCAGGGGATTGGTAGTAACTTACTTCCAACTGCTACAGGAACACAAGAGCTTTCCTCATCTTGCGTTATGCATGGGTTTGTCAGATAGCCAGTCAATGCCAGATGCCATAACTTGCTTTTATGAGCTCCTTTTTTCATATATGAGTAGTTACATGAATCCTTTGTTTGTAATTAAACCTTGTTATAACTTACTCCCTAAAACTACAGACATAGTATTCACTTAAGTATAGGTTTTTATCTACTTTTTATCTTAAAGAACCAGCTTTTAAATATACGTGCTCATTATTTCTTAATAAATAGCAGCAGCGTAAAAGACCTTAAGCTTCAAATCAATTACAGCTTTAGAGGGTAAAATTATTACAGATAGCCTGTCAAATAATTAAGGGGAGGTGCATTTGTGATCTGTTCATCACTGGCATGATTAGATACTTATTAAATGTATGTTTTGATGGCAGTTTCATAAATCAAGAGCCTTTTATATAAGCCACTATAAGCTGCAATGTGGTGTATCTCTCCCTCCCTCAGTTTTCCAAGAAAGATGCTGGGATTTATGAAGTTATCCTGAAAGATGACCGAGGAAAAGATAAGAGCAGACTGAAGCTTGTGGATGAAGGTCAGTCCACCAACTGCTAGGATCCGTTTTCCGTGTTCCGTATACAGGCTAACAGAACCATGATTGAGGCTAGGCTGCTGACTTTTTGTCCACAGATTTTGTTGAAATTCCAATAGAGTGAACTACTGTTTTATTCAAAAACACTTTACTTTTATTCCTCCTATTTTTCCAGAAGTGTACTTTTGATCCTCAGAGCAGTTATAGACCATAGCCCAGTAGGGGTCTGTTTGTAATTTAAGTAATCATTTTTGTTCCAACCCTATAAAAATGTCCCAGAATCAAAAACTTCTGTGAGAAGCACATAGAAACATAGTCCACTCATACAGGTGGCAAGAGAGATTTCTATGTGAAATCTGAAGCCTCACAGGGCAGGAAAGCAATTTCCTTATCTCAGAGACTACTGAGAACAAATACATCATGATAATGAGAACCTACATGTGATACCCACACTTCTAGTTTTGTTCAAGAGCAAGGTCTTTTAAAGTACTGCTATTAAACAGCAGGAGTCCGACTTTGATTGCCCTTTTTCTGTTGGTGGAGGTGGAGCTAACTGCTTATGCCCAGAAGCCTTCTTAGGCTGAGGAGGACCAGGGACCCTGAGGGTTAATTTCTATGAGCTCATGAGACACACAAGAAAACCTCCTCTAATGTAAACTGAGGTTTCCTGGGACTTAACAAGAAAGAGAATCCAAAGCCAAAAACCTTCCTGGAAATCTCATTTTGGCTCTTTTTCTAGAATGTGTATAGAGTGATAGGTAAAAAGAATTCAAGGGAGAAAATACCAAAATAAGAAGAGATCTTTTTAAACCTGGTAAAAATTGAGTCATTCCTCAAAGAGCACTTGTTATCAATTTGTCAACACTGCTCCTTGTGTCTGATTACTCTCATCACAAAGGGAATTTCTGAGACTCGCAATTTCAGGTTTGACCTTACACTGACTTTCAATGCTGAAATTTTGGCTCTGAACTTCTGCCCACAGCCTTCCAAGAACTGATGTCTGAAGTATGCAAAACAATAGGTAAGTTGGCATTCTTCTCACAACAGTGCTTCATTATCTTCCTGCCCGGATGGGCTCACAGCTGCATGAAATATTCTGTTTTCCTCCTTCAGCTCTGTCTGCCTCAGACCTGAAAATCCAGAGCACAGCCGAGGGCATCCGGCTGTACTCCTTTGTGACTTACTACGTGGATGACTTGAAAGTGAACTGGTCACACAAGTAAGTAGGTGGGACCCGACACGCTGTGTGGGAATTCCTTTTCTACTGGGGGCGGGAAGAGTAGGGGAGTAAGTCTTCTGTTCCTCTGGGTAAGGAGCCTTCTTAATTCTCAGGTCTGACACTGACCAGCACAGGACAGTGACAACTGGCTCATTCCCTTACTGTGAGCCTCACTCTTTCCCTCAACACATGCATGGCGAGGCCAGCGATGGCCGTAGCATATTTTTGTGATCTAAAAAGTATCATAATTCACAAAACATCTCTATAGTGTAACCTTCATATGGCTAATTCATGCTATGGTCCAAGACAATACTGAAGCAGTGTGCACCAGCAGATACTAAATTGCCCACTGTATGAATGAATGGTCATTCACCATGATTCTTCCACCAGAGAAGTACTCAGATTTTTTTAAGTACTCAGATTGATGATGTTTATACCCATTGGCATAGTTGAGCATTAGCATGTTTTCTGTCTACCCTCAGAAGGTTCCAGAGATCTCAAGATGATGCTGGAGATAATATATTTGAACAGAATTGAGCCTAAAGATCTGGTCTTATCCCAGGCTACGTTTGTGGAGTTACAAAGGGGATTCCATTCAGGTTCATGTCTAGGATTCCAAGAGCCAGAATAGTTTCTATGTCAAACCAGTCCACCCCTTTACAATCCTTAGCCTGTCCGTAACCTCTGTGCTTCCTTGAAACATCCTGAGCTGAAGAACAGAGACCTGGTGTGGATAATCTCTTAGAACACAGCCGTTGTCAATGCACTCTTAGGAGGCAGCAGGCACTCCTTCCGAACTACCCAATGTTCCTAAGAGCGCAACTGAGAAGTTGGTCCTGTGGCATCCTGGGGAGATACAGATAAAATGTTTCTTTATGTGACACATTCAGTGGGCAGGGGACAAAAGTGGAGCACTTCCCCCAAGATAAAAGAATTGGATACAGGACTAGATCATATGCATTCATCCATATTCACAGCTCTAGGTGGTAGGTCCCCCTCACTTTAGTGATGAAGAAGCTCAGACTCAAGACACAGAGTCAGTGTGTGTGTACCCTTCAGTCTCTCTCACTTCTTATAAATCCACCAGTATTCAGTCATGAGTGCTCCACCCTGATGAGTTCATCTAATCCTCCTCACCTCCAAACACCATAGTCAGACTCTCGTTCTACTTCTTACTGCCTCACAGTGGGGACTGACTGCCAACATTAGCTTCAGAGGGGACAAGCCCTATTCAAACTATATCAAAGGTTGAACCCAGGCAGCCTCACACCAGAGCCCAGCTCGTGATGGCAGTACCCACTCCATGTTCAAGTTGCGTTAAACATCTAGATTCAACAGTGCACCAGAGCTGCATCCCCAAAGCAGTCATTTGCATTTTCCTCAAAATGGCTTTACTGTTATATTGGACAGTGTTTTTATTATTATTATTGTTAATCATTTCCCGAGTTCTAAAAATGAGAAGTCATAGAATTCCAGTGAAGAACACTTAGTTCTTCACTTGTTCTGTTTCTTTCAGAATGTATTTTAGGAAAGTAATTATAAATTAAAATGGATCAAATTTGAGGAAATTCCTCTGTGACATCTAGGACATTCTAATGTACCAATATGAAGAATGAGAGGAGTAAAATGAGTTGAATCATGAATCAAAAAAGCTTTGTATCATCCCAGAAAACATTACTTGTTCCAAAAATAAAGACATTGAAAATATGTTTAGAGGAAACTGCTATTAGAGTAGCAAGTCATAAACTTCTTATGTTATTTGGTCTAGCCTGCTCCACAAGTTTTGTGTGTTTGTGGACTTATGAATGATTCCAGAATCAAGGATTGCCTTTGCTGTCTATGTGTAGCTATGTGGCATATGGGACAAAACCTAGACGTGGATTTTAGTCTTGACTTTGCTCCTGCTTTCCTTTGTGATCTGTGGCAAGTCATTTAATTTTCTGAGTCTTCATTTTCTCTTATATAAAACTGGAACAATAGAGCTTATTCTATCTGAAGTGCTTTATAAATATAAGACATTATTTTGCACATTAGCCAGAGATTAAAGAATTCAAACAGGTTATTATAGCAAGGCAAGAAACTATCTTTCTGTCTAACTCTTTAAGATATATCTATTGCTCAGACTAAACTCTGTGGCATACAGATGGGGTCCTTTACTTTAATGGCATTTTAATCTTTAATATTTTTTCAGGCAAAGAAATACTCTTTAAAGAAGGTAGTGGTATAAAATATTAAATATTTGAAAGCTAAAACTTTTTTGTTGGATAATTTTATTTTTTAAGGTGCGTTTTGATTATTGCAACTACAAAGGTAACATACTTTTAGAAATCACATTTATAATACTATATTACAGATTAGAAAGAATCCATGATGTGATATCATCCATAACTTCACTAGACATAAGTATGGACATTGGGGGTGCCACTTTCCCGTCTGTTCTCTGGGAATCATTGTTACTGTAAGGGTTCTGTATATTGTTTTTTTTTCTTACTACGTCACATTTTTACAAACTCTTCATAAAATTTCTTTTTTAACATTATTGAGCATATTTTCTCTTGCTTCCTCGATAAGAGTTATCACTCTTTCAATATCTTGTACAGAATACAATGCATGGGTCTATTCATGACCCACTGTAGAATATCAAGAAATTTACATCTAGGGATGGTGAACATGCCTCATTTATTTTGGCAAAAATTCTACTTTTCATTCACTTTTAGCTCTACTACCAAGTTCATATTTACATAGTTGAAATAGCTTTATAACAACGTATGTCAATAGATGTCAGGCATAGGTGAGCCTCCACATGTGTTTTTAACTAGTTCGTAGAATCTGATTTATAGCCATAGATCATCCACATGAAATATACAATAAAATCATATATAGTTTGGTCTCTTAGCTATTGGGATTCCCTTATTCCTACAAATAAATCCAAGCAAAAACACAAATAATTAGTACCACTGGTAAGTCTAAGTGTTGCAATCTCCCCTGCCCAACTGTAATGGGAATTAAATAAATGCTCAGACTATTAGATCTAGGGCCGTGAAATATAACTTCTGTTCTTCAGGACTTACAACATGTGTGAAGTAGAAGAATGATAGACGTAACTGTCATGTTTTTTGAAATTCTCTAAGCCATGAAGTTAAAACTTTCAATAAGAGACAAAGTAGAGATCAACTGTAGATGCAAGCAAATAGTAATGATTTTTTTGTTTTGTTTTAACAGTGGGACTGGTATTAAGTACACAGACAGAGTTAAGAGTGGGGTCACCGGGGAGCAGATCTGGCTACAAATCAATGAGCCCACTCCTAATGACAAAGGGAAATATATAATGGAACTCTTTGATGGCAAAACTGGACACCAAAAGACAGTGGATCTTTCTGGACAAGGTAAATGGATATTCTACAGGATTGAATTTACCATAGAGGGGTGGGACTTTTAAAAAGAATGAAATTGATGATGTCAAAAGAACAAAATTCCAACAAATTAAAGATCTAATTGGTGTTATTAGTTATTTATGAATCAGGTAGCATCTCATCTATGAGGTAGACAGGTGCTCTGCCAGGTGTGGTGGAACAGTGGGTTTTTGTAAGGTAGTTTGAGCAGGAGCAAGGAAACAGGATAGTATAAACCACAGATTGGCATCAGGTTACTCTCCTTACAGTGTTAAAGCAGAGAGGGGTCCTTTATGCTGGCTCAGGTTGACTGGGCCCCTTCTGATTGGTTGCTGTGAATCTCCCATTTTGAGATTTCATTACACAGCACCTAGCACAAGTGACTCTATTCTGGTTAAGTCTGGTCTGGTGGGCATGATGCAGGAGCTTAGTCTAAAACAATGACCTCCCATGAATTTTACCTAGCAGTAATTTTAATAAAGCAGTTTTAATTCATCTGTGATGGTAGAAGCAGTAAGTCCATGAGTAGAGAATTGGTGAAAAGTGAGGTGGAGACAGTGAACTTGGAGAGAAAGCACTGCTGTCTCAGAAAGATGTTTGCAAAGAAAGGCAGGTTGATTCAGTCACTTCCACCCAAACAAACTCTGAAAAAGATCATTTCATGGTTATTGAAATCTGTGCACATTCAGAATCCAACAAACCAGCTGTGTTGGAAAGACTGAAAATGTGAGTGGAGAAGAATTGACATATCCAAGTTTTGAAGAATGGAAGGTCTGAAACCAAGGGCAGAGGTGAAAGCACTGACTTTGGGAAGGAGGAAGGAGAACTCTTCTTCCAAAACTAGAGGAAATGAGTGTGAATTACAAAGACAAGTCTTGAGGAGAATATAAGGAAGTTGAAGAGACTGGGTCCTGATGGCCTCAGATTTTCTTGGCATATGCTGAAACAATGATGACGGTAGGAAAGAGGAAAAAGTAGTGAGTGATGTGTACCAAAGGTCTCCAAAGGGACAGGCATTTGAAGCAGTGGTTAAGACACTAAGACACTGCATGTCACACCAGCATCCAGTATCAGAATGCCTGGGTTCGAGTCCTGGCTCTGCTTCTGAGGCCAACTTCCTGATAGTGCTTACCCTGGATGGCAGCAGTGATGGTTCAAGTACTTGGGTTCCTGGCAGCTCCATGGATGACCTAGGTTGAATTCCCGGATCCTTGCTTCAGCCTAGTCTATCCCTATCTGTTGTGGGCATTTGGGGAGTGAATTAGTGGAAGAAAGATCTCCCTATGTCTTTCTGCCTCTCTCTCTCTCCCTCTGTCTCTCTTGCCTTTCAAATAAAAATGATTAAAAAAAAAAAGAATAAAGGAGTTTCAAAAGAGCAAAGATCAAAGGTGATGCACAACTATTAATTAAAATTTTTAAATTAAAAGGTTAAAAGATGAACAATTACAAATAAAAATTTTAAATACATTTCTGCCTGCCCTGGCACTATACCCTTTATCCTATTCTATCCTATAGAAATAAAAAAATAGTCTATATTAAAGTAACTAAAGGAGGCTGTGGACTGACTTTTTCCTCCACTTCTTCTTATATTAAAATGCATCTAAATACTCAGCAATTCTTGTTTGTTTTTTTTTCCTACTGTGAGAAAAGAGAGCAGACTTTCAACCCTGAGTTCTTTTAGGGGCTGCGTCCCCTCATCCTCACTTCACCCACCCACTGCAACTGCAGAGATTCACTAAAAGATTTGCAGTAAAAGGGGCACCTACTCACAAGGATGCTGGGCTTTCTTTTTTTTTTTTTTTTTTTTTTATATAAATTTTTTTTTTTTTTGACAGGCAGAGTGGACAGTGAGAGAGAGAGAGAGACAGAGAGAAAGGTCTTCCTTTGCCGTTGGTTCACCCTCCAATGGCCGCCGCGGCCGGCGCGCTGCAGCCGGTGCACCGCGCTGATCCGATGGCAGGAGCCAGGAGCCAGGTGCTTTTCCTGGTCTCCCATGGGGTGCAGGGCCCAAGCACCTGGGCCATCCTCCACTGCACTCCCTGGCCACAGCAGAGGGCTGGCCTGGAAGAGGGGCAACCGGGACAGAATCCGGCGCCCCGACCGGGACTAGAACCCGGTGTGCCGGCGCAGCTAGGCGGAGGATTAGCCTAGTGAGCCGCGGCGCCGGCCGGATGCTGGGCTTTCTGGACCACACCTCGGGTCTGTTACAAAAGCACAGTGATGGGGATTTTTTTTCCCATACTGCGTCTGCCCATCTGAAACACAATAAATAGAAATGGAAGCAATAAGTAGGTGGATAAGCTTAAAGTTTTGCAAAAGCTCATTTTCTTAAAGGCTTATTTATGTATTTATTTGAATGCCAGAATGATAGAGAGCAGGAAAGAGGCAGAGAGAGAGAGAGAGAGAGAGATCGATCTTCCATCAGCTGGTTCACTCCCCACATGGCTGCAATAGCGGGGACTGGGTCAAACTGAAGCCAGGAGCTAGGAATTCCATCCTGGTCTGCACATAGGTGGCAGAAGCCCAGACTCAGGCCACCTTCCACTGCCTTCCCAGGTGCATCGGCGGAGAGCTGGATGGGAGCGGAGCAGCAGGGACTCAAAGCAGCATTCTAATCTGGGACGCTGGTGTTGCAAGCCAGGGCTTAACTTGCTGCACCACAATGCTGGCTCCTAAAAATTTACTTTATGGCCCACCAAAGTTTTTTTTAACTACCGGACTCTTGAATCCCCCTTAAGAAAAAGCTATAGGTTGTCTTAGCATTGCCACTGCCACCAGACAAGGTCAGCTGTGCCGCTCTCCTCCTCAGTGTGGTATGTAGACAAGGAAGAGCCCTGAACTCCAAGCTAGGTTAGCCCAGCTTGTCTCCCCTTTACTTTACAGAGGAGGAAAAATAAGGACCAGCGACTTTCGGCTGGTCTTTATACTGATTCTTTTTCCCTTCTGGAAGATGAGGGAGGTAAACTAGTGTTATCCAAAGATTCTCTAGACTTCAAATGTTACGGTTCCGAGACCACAGAGGAGCTTAAAGGTGGAGTGAGAGGGATTTCAACTGAAGCTGCTGTTTTAAGTGAAGTCTTCAAAGTAGCTTACTCTGTCGGCTCGGGAGGGGTGTGTGTGATGATTTTAGAACGATGTAGTTCTCATTTCCTTATCTTACTTGCCCTTCATCTCATTTCTATCATAGCATAAGAAGCATTGCTTCTGGCAGTCTTGGTACATGCTATGATTTCAGGGACTCTCTGTGCTCTTTTGCCCGAAGAGTTAGACCAGACAACACAACACAAAAACATTTAACTGTCTAGCAAAGAGGCGATGGTGTCAGGGAAAACTTAGTAAGAGAAAGCGTTACTGATGCTTAGGATGCTTATTAGGCAATAAGCATTCAATTTTATAAGAAATAGACTTTTATTCCCATTTTTTTCTTGGGTGTAGCTCATCACTGCCTCTCTGCTCCAAGGGTTGAAGATCTCTTGCTGAGTTGAAAGCTTCTAAAATCTCCTATTTCATATTTTCTGCCTAGAAAGTCTTTGCTTGTCTTGTTAAGTACTTTAAGCTGTAGCATGAATACACAGGCACAGGCTTATTCATAGTCAGCTTAGCTGTATCTGGACTGGTCACAAGGACCTCGCATTGCGAATTCTAATCAGCCCTGTGTGTCATCAGTTCTGGGGAAGAAAATTCTAACATTTCTTTTTTTCTCTTAAAGCATACGATGAAGCCTTTGCTGAATTCCAGAGGTTAAAGTAAGTCCCTTTTCCTAGCGAATGCCACTTCCCTGCGCGAATTGATCTGAAACTCCTTAAGTCCCGGCCCAGCTGAGTTCTAGAAAGAGGGCTTTGTTTCAGCAAGTGCTTAGTCAAAGCAGGGCTCCCTGCTGTCACCCCAGCAGCAAAATGCTTCTGAGTGCAGTCAAGGTTAAGCCACTCTGGAGTCACACTAAAACAAAATTCTTCTTTGTGTGTGTGTTTGTTCGTTTCTCTCAACCACAGACAAGCTGCCATTGCTGAGAAAAGTAAGTAAACTACCTTCATGTTTACTCCTGGTGTAGATTCAAAATATAATTTTATTATGCCACTGTGATTACAGGTGGAGGAGAAAAAGTGAGTTTTGTTTTTTTCCTTTTTTGGAAAATCTTGGTGTTCTACTTATGTTTTCATTTTAGTCTTTGGAGTAAAAATGTCTATAAAAAGAAAGTCGCAGGTTACATCATAAAGAATGTCACCCAGTTCTGGACTTGAGCTGCTAGCCAGACAGACATCTTGAGAAATCTTTTGGCTGCAATTCACATAAAAAATAGGTTGCTAGTCACTTGCAGGCATAGTCTGTCAGAAAAATTTATGTACATTAAAGAAAAGAAGCATTGTAAATTTGACATGGGGTAAATCACTGACACTTATCCCCAAGAAGTACTGAGCATTTTCCTGAGATCCTGTAAGATAAAAGATGCTGACTAAAGTCTTCCTTAAGTCACTGAACTAGACACAGTCCATGTGAACACACTAGGCCACGAACCCGGATGTTTCTGTCAACTGTTTCATACACAGATGTTTTAGAGAGCTCTAATGGTCTCACAGAACCCCTCATACTGCTGCAGTTTCTTTCTCAATGTGGGAAACAGAATTTTAAAGCTGTTAAAACTGTTGAGTTGACCCCAAGTTGGAATTTGAGGGGACCAAGGTGAGGACTGAGAAGGGAAATCACCCTTCACCTCCCAGTGGCCCCAGGTCCTTCCTGCTGGAACTTTGAACTTTTTGCTTGCCCTGTTGCCTTCCCCATCCCAATCCCCTTCTCTCCTCCTCTTTTTCTAGCTCAGGCCCTGCACTTGTGAGGCTGTAGCTAGTAGTAAAAAGACAGATGCCACCCCTGGGGCTTGGAAGCTTGGTCAGTAGGGTGTCAGAGCAAGAGGGGACATTTCTTATCTGCTATTAAATATGTCCCTTCCACTCCTGGATACACCAGGCAAAGCCCATGTCCTCATACAGTCTTCCTCAATTCTTGAACTTTTGTGTGGGCAAGGAGCCTGATCCTCCAGTTCATGAACTCTAGCCCTGGAAGAAACTTTAGAGTTTTTCCATCTCTGTGTTTTCACACTTTTGTAAGCCATGAAACACGTATTTCAATAAAGTCTTCCCTATAGCCAAAGCTAATTGAACTTGGGATGGGTCTACTTTCCACATCTCCTCACAGGCCCCCTAGAGGAATCTCACTGATGCCATGGAGCAGAGTCTGCAAATTTAATACCTACAGGTTGAATTAATGTAACACCTACCCCTCAACACCATTCTACAGATTAGGAGATGGAGGCCCATGCATGAAGTGACTGGATTCATATTCATGCAGCAAGTCACACAAAGAAACATCTGATGGGCTAGGCTTACAGCTGGTGTGCTGGGGTCAGCAGTAAAGTACTATCAAGTTTCACTCAAAGCTTTAGATTGACTTAGTAGAAAAGGGAATTGTAGAAATGAGGACAAAGAGTCAAGAAATAATGGAAGGAGGTCTCAAAATGAAACCATGACAGCCACCAGGTGTGTTGCTGGAGAAATCGCCATTGAGTGTGTTTCAGGAAGGCTCACTTCCCAGAGATCAGGGCAATCACACCAGAGGATGTGGCTTGGCTGAGGGTCCCAGCCCTCAGCCCTGAATTTCAGCACCTCATCGGCCCACACAGCACCAACAAGACTACCAGGAGACAAAAAAAAAAAAAAAAGGAAGCACTCTAGGGAAGGCCTCAAAGTCCACTTGGGCACAAGCATCCAGATCTCCTTTGTGTAAAGCCCTCCCTGAAGTACAGGAGGGTACTGTACTGGTCAGCCAGAAAAGTGAGAACATATGTTTGCTTAAAAACCTGTACACAGGTGTTCGCAGGAGCTTTACTCATGATAGTTCCAAGCTGAAAACAGCCCACGTGACCCTTATGGACAAATGTGAGAGTACTTCAAAAGGTTCGCAGAAAATGAAATTAAAAGAGAATGCACATTTTCCTTGAACCTTTTGAAGTACCCTCCTGTACTTTAGGGAAACCCACACAGCGTCCACACCAGGCTTCAAGGCTCTCCACAGAGATCCGTTCTGGCTCCTCAAGCTTAGCCCCACAAGGCAACACAAAGGCCCGGGCTGACTATGCCATGCACGTTCCACAGTGGTCCTCGATAGGAACAAAATGACCTCAGGCTGGTATTTTAGGCAGAGATCTAGGCACCTGCCTGCACACAGTGTGTGTGAGTGGAGAAGGATTAAAACCAAGAACCACCAGATCATCTTCTTGTTTTGCATATTGGAAACAGGATGAGATAACTGTAGGAGAGGGAGGTCCAACTGGAAATCTGTACCCTGGGGAGGTTTTGTGAGCGTGCTCTCTGGTCCTCATCATTGCAGTGATTAACGAGGAATGCCTCTGCTTGCAGATCGTGCCCGGGTGCTGGGCGGTCTCCCTGACGTGGTCACCATCCAGGAGGGCAAGGTGAGTGGGAGCACTCCTGTCCCTGCTTCCACCCCCGAAGCAGGTCACAGCGCCCCGGACTTCCTTCTTTGCAGATACCACTTTCAGATACTTACCGTACTACCTCATCTTATTCTGTGGCTGCTTATCCTTCATCAGAAAGGCCTAATGCAAGTTTTAAAATGCAGTGGGTTTTCCAATTTTAATCTCTTGCAGGTCAAGTATCAGGATGAAAGTTTGTCTTGCATGGAAATATATAGGCCACTTAGTATGTTCCCAGTGTCACCCTTTAAATCCACAGGAAACCAAGTGTTCAGTCCTCACTCTATGACAGATGCTATTAAACGTCCTCTAACACGCCATAGGAAATGGATGGTCCCAGCAGACAGCTCATCTTTGAAGGAAGCAGCTGCTGTGTGCATTTCTGTAGGCTCTGTCTCTACCGAAAACGGATTTCTTTCCATTTGCTTTCAAACTGGTATTTCCTGGCTCCATAATAACCTCAACAAGAGGGAATGAACACAATTGCTATCCTAGATTAACTTTCTTCATCCTTGTGTTCCATTAAAACAACCTTGATATACCAGTCTGAGGGGTGGAGATATTTGCGGGGGACAAAATCTTTTTCCACTCCAGAGCTGTGAAGACAAACAGCAGGTAGGCAGAGCACAGGTAACAAAGCAAAGGCCATGGAAGAGCTTTAGTGACAGGCAGGCTTCATCCAACTGCATTTTTTGTGGGTGGAAAATGTGATCATCGTTGATTTTAAGCTCTGCTGTGGCAGGGCTGCTTTTGTTCTCAAGCTTTCTTTTCTATTTTCTTCATCCTGTGAGGTTAAAAATATCCAGCTGACTGGATTGTATTGAGAATTAAGGGAGACAATGTACATGAAAGCACTTGTAATCTAAACTTAAACCTAAAGGATGGATAAGAGTTTATCATGATGCTTAAGGTGTTTGCGAGTGTTTGTTTGATTTTGTTAAAAGTTTGAACTCCTAGTAGTCACAGTTGCTAAAATTATATACCTGCTATGCTTGGATAAGTTTAATGGCAGCAATTTGACTCATATTTTCTTGCTGAAATGTACTGGTAGAATAAATCAACAAGAAATACTAGTTAAGGATAGGAGGAAAACAGATTTTTTAATCCACCCAATTTTAAATGATACTCTTACAGAAGAGGTGACAAGTGATCATAAACTACCCTTAGAAGGATATCCTTTTCCTGTGAATGTACTGTGAGTCCTGGTTCTTTCCTTGCACGTCCCAGATTTCAATAAGCAACAAATACAAGAACAGAATTAAAAATGTGAAGTAAAATCAACATCATAAGCCATCAGGGAAATGAAAATTAAAACCACAGGAAATATCATGACACACCTTTCAGAATTGCTAAAATAAATATAGTACACAGCAACAAAGATTTAAAAAATGCTATGAAGGTGTGGAAACACTGAGTCACTTATATATTGCTGGTGAGAATGTAAACCAAAATTATACAGCCACTCAGAAAAACAGTTTAGCAATTTCTGAGAAAAAAATGAAACATTCATTTACCACACAACCCAACAATTGTGCCCCTGGTATCCCAGAAAAATGAGAACATATGTTTGCTTAAAAATCTGTATACAAATGTTCATATGAGCTTTATTCATAATAGTTACAAACTGAAAACAGCCCACATGACCCTTATGGACACATGCGAGAGTACTTCAAAAGGTTTGTGGAAAATAGGATTAAAAGCAAATGCACATTTTTCCTGAACCCTTTGAAGTACCCTCCTGCACACCATGGCGCACTATTCCGCAGTAGTGGATACATGCAACTACTTGGATGAATCTGGGAGGAATTAAGCCCAGTGGAAAAGAAAATCCTGAAAGGTTATGTTGCATGATTGCTTCTGAAGGGACAAAATTCTAGAAACAAAATACAATAATGGCTGCCAAGGATTAAGAAAAGGGTTGGGAATTTGGAGGGAGGGATTGTTGTGGTTGTGAAAGGGCAACAAAAAGTTCCTTGTGGAGATGGAAATATTCTGTCTCTTGACTGTGGTGGTGGACACACGTGCCAATCCAGGTGATAAAACTGAATAGAATGAAGCACACACAACCCCAAATGAGTCTAAGTCAAACGGGGGACAGCCAAATGAAACTAGTGGATTGTATCAATTTCAATGTACACGTTGTGATATTGTTTAGTAGTTTTATGAAATATTCCATTGCAGGAAACTAGGTAGGAGTACACAGGATGGTTCTATTATTTCTTCCAACTGCATGTGAATCTACAGTTAAATAACTTTTTAATTGAAAAAGACAAAAGGAAAACTGTAGCGTTAGTATTGATCTTTTGGAATAGGAGAGTTCCAGCACAGATGGGCATGTTACTTAGGAGTGCATTTTGGTAGAGCAACTGCGACAGATTGGACGGCCTTTGGGGAGAGAAGTAAAATGGGGAGGGATGGAATTTGAAAATGAGTTACATTATCTGAAACAGCTGTTCAGACGCCACTGCTGGGCTTTGTGATGCAAGTGAAAGGCAAAAGTGAGCAGGCAGTGAGGTTTCTCTACTAAGACAGAGCTCAAAATGCCACATTAGAGCAAAAGGCATGTAAGTGTTTGTGAGAGAAAGTAGAAATGGGGAATGGAGCAAACCCCGTGTGTGTCTTTGATGATAAGCATTCCAGAACCTAGAAAGTGCTTAACCTAGAAAGCATTAACCTAGTGCTTAACCTAGAAAGGCCTTAACTAGGCCTGCCCAGAGGTGATTCCCCCGGGGGCGTACACGTAACTCCTTTAAGCCATGGTCTGTGAGATTTGTATTCATCCTCCCTCTGGTCACACTAAACCACCAGCCAGCAGGCATCTTGGAGCTGGATCATGTCTGACATATATCCTTTTCTTCCATAAAACCTGCCTTGCAGGCCCTTAACCTCACTTGCACTGTGTGGGGCGACCCAACCCCGGAGGTCTCGTGGCTGAAGAACGAGAAGCTGCTGGCCTCAGACGAGCACTGCAACCTCAGGTTCGAGGCCGGGAAGATCGCCTACTTCACCATCAACGGCGTGAGCACCTCCGACTCGGGCAAGTACGGGCTGGTTGTGAAGAACAAGTACGGGACGGAGACCAGCGACTTCACGGTCAGCGTGTTCATCCCGGAGGAGGAGGCCAGGAAGGCCCTGTCGGAGCCGCAGAAGTCCAAGTGACCGAAGACTGGGCGGAGGGGTGCGAGGAGAGCCGAGACCGGCTGAGTCAACTTGCGCTGCTTGTGTGCGAATGGTTTGGGTTAAGGACAAGGAAGGCTTTGCACTTCCTCCTCCCTGTTGTGTGCTGGGTTAGGGATAGGATTGTCAAATCTTTCATTCATATATTTTTTAAAAGTGCCAACTAACAACACTTTAAAGGTTTTTCTTTATAAACAAATTATATGTTAAGAAAATAGCATTAGTAGCACAAACATTAGGAAATGGTTTTAAGGGAATGTCCAGAATAAAATTGGAGGGATATTGAATGATGGTCGGAGAGCAGAAGAAGGTGTTGTGGAGAGTCTGGAGTGGATGAGGATTTGGTGGTAAATTCCCATGGTTGGCAGCCATGCTCGAGCATCCCATCAAAGAGACATGCTGCTGAGGCCATGGGTGTGGGCCAGGTGTTGTTGCCATGGTGATGTGCAGCCTTGTGACTTGGAGCCTCCTCCATATGAATAAATGGTTCTCACACCTTTCCCATGCCTCATCTGTGTCTCTGATTCTCACCTGGGTAGCCTCTGCTGCATCTGCCGTGACACTCCCGCCATCCGTTCACGAGGCAGAGCCCTCTGCAGGTCCCACCTCTCAACCCTGTTGCTCTGGGGATTGAGTTTCCCACACACGAATCCTGGGAGATGTTTCATAGAGAAGAAAACTCCCTTATGCTGTTGGGAGGCTGGAAATTGCCTCTCACCTGACTGTTGCCAATTCACCTGTCCAGCAGGTGCACTGTGCTGCTGCGACACCGAGTGCCAGGCAGGGGTAGGTGCTCTGTTCTCACTCTTGAGCATGACAAGTGAAATGCGTTTCTGAGGGTCCAGTGGCTCTTGTGGGAGGGGGCTGGCCAGGAGCACTCTGCAGTTCTTCCTGCCTCAGCAAGAGGCTGACCCCTGGACATGTGGGCCCAGAAGGAAAGGGTTACCACGTGGACACCTGCAGGGAAGCCAGAGAAAGGAGCAGGGGGTAGAGTGGCAGGTCTCCGTGCTCAGGGACTGTGCAGGCGAGGGGCCCGTAAGACTCTCCAGGGAAGCCGGACGTTGTAAGAGCCAGCAGCAGAGCTCCCAGTGTTGGGAAGTCGGGAGCAGGCACGCAAAGCCTGCTGCCCGTTCCTGCGGTTCCTCCCCCTGGAGCCCAGATGGGAGAAAGCAAAGCTTGGGAATCGGATGAAAACAAGATTTCCCAACAGTGTGTTGTAAATTCTGAACGTGTGTGAAAGCATGAAGTCAAAGCGTGTTCTCTCAAAGACCCCTGCCCTCCAGCAGAGGGACTTGATGGGACATGCTGTAGAGAGGGAGAGAGACAGTGTCGGTATTCAGATCTTTACAGCGAGACTTCACAATAAAATGGGCACACGGACTATTGCAGCTTCTGTAGTTACCGAATTAAGTCTGTTACGTTGTGATTTGATAGCTTAGGTAACAAGCTGCTGTTTCTACAGGGGAAAGTATAACCAAAACTATACACCCATCAGCTTAACAACCCTGAAGGAACTTTCTCACACGTACGAATATATGAACCTGTGACCTGCTAAATGTGAGCTATTGTCACGCAAAGGAGCATAACAGAACACAAAAAAGGCTATTCAGAGTTTAGATTAATAAATTAATATGTAACATAGTCAAGTGACAAATTTTAAAACCTGCATCTTCCTAAGTCCTTGAAGTTCAGCTTTGCACTTTTAACTTTCTATTTAAAAATCTAGCCCTTGAAAAAAAATTAGGGCTGCTTTTTAGAGTATAACTAAGTTCTCTTTAATTTGTTAAACTACATTTATCAATTCGTGTATTTCCTTTCCATTTTAAGTATTATCATCTGACTTAAACAAAAACATCTCAATAACTTTACCTACTACACATAGCATAGGAATATTGGAAATTGTATGTTTTCCTAAATGTCAATTATATATCAACTTATCACAATTAAACATTCCAATCCAGAATCAAAAAGCTCAAGTTGGACTAAACTATCTAAAATATTCCAAGTACTTAATAATAAAATATACCAATTCCATATTGGAAAAAAAAAAAACTATAAGCTTTACCAAGCTATAGGTCTCAGGGCCTGGGAATGGAGTTTAACACCCACACCAGAATAAGAGACATGAGCTCGGGTGGTTGAAGGTATACAAGAGCCCTGCATAAAGCTGGCATTCAGGAAAGGGGCCTAGTCAAAAGAGAAATGGGAATCATAAAAACATCACCTACTGACCTCGAGAGGCTGCAGGGAAGCTTTCTGTCTGCCTAGAGGTAGTTCTGAGTAGGAAAAAGACTAATGGATTCCTGATGTCAGTTACTGCATGCATGTGGGACCCACATTTACCATGCCACGTGGTACAGGAATCTCAAGCCAAGAGTTTCCGTTAAAAATGGGCAATGTCTGGGACCCTAGAGAAGCAAATGTTAAATCACACTACAAGGGGCTTTTGTATCAACCCACAAAGAGTTACTGTTATGGAAACTGTTCTCCCACTATAAACAAGTAGAAAATCAAGCCAGAAATATATATATATATATATATATATGTTTGATATATATATGTGAAATTTTGTATTTTCCTAAATGTTTTAATGTTTTATATATGTATATATACATATATAAACTTGTCTGAGGCGTTAGCTAATAGCAACCGTGTGGGACTGTGACCCCCCGAGAGAAGGGGAAAATTGATGAGATATCTGTGGCTGCTCCAGCTTCTTGCCTGGATGGAGTGTTTGGGTTGAAGTTCTGCTTGGGGGGAACCTGTCAGTCATATTGAATTAAGGAGATTAAAATTGAAGTTCAAAGATGCTAGTTCAAAGATGCTAGATGAAGTTCAAAGATACCTAGCATTTGGGAGAAAGAATATTAGAAGAGAGTTGCTTAGAGACAGGGTGATGGAGAGCTGCATGTGGTCTTTGGCTGAGCACTGCTCTGTAGATGCATGGGAAAGAGCCATGGGCCAAACGATTCTTGGCACTTGCACAGGCTGGAGATGGTTCTCATTTCCACCAGTGGAAATGAAAAGGCTGTAACACATGGAATATTGGGTAGAGCCTTCAGAAGTCTCTCACCTTAGTAGCAAGGCTAACTTAATCCTAGATTAAAAGTTCCTCTGGACCCACTCTAACAAAGCTTAAAAGAAAGCTTCAAAGGGATACAAGGACCTTAAGACATCCATTGTAACCACATTCCGTATGTTCAAGAACTCAGCAGAAAGACCGACCACACAGAGACATGGAAGAATCTTATGAAGGCATATCATAATGTTTTTCTGAAAAACATTAATAAGGAAAAATACCTTAAAAGCAGAGAGAAAAAAGACAAATGCTATACAGAGGAACGAGAGTAAGAATGACACAAGACTTCTCATGAGAAACCATAGAAGCCAGAGGACAATGAAGCAAGGCCTTTAAAATACCAAAAGAAAAACAAAAGCAGTCAACCTAACATTCTCTACCTGCTGAAGAGACTACAAGGAAATTAAGATAAAAAGAAGACTTTTATGACAAACTAAAGCTTAGAGGTCTGCTACCAACAGATCTATACTGCAAGAATGTTAAAGAAGGCTGGCTCTGTGGCGTAGAGGGTTAAGCCACAGTCTGCAGTGCCGGCATCCCACATGGGCACTTTATTGAGTCCCAGCTGCTCCACTTCTGATCCAGATCCCTGCTAATGTACCTGGGAAAGCAGTGGAGGATGGTACAAGTGCTTGGGCGCTGGGGGAGACCCAGATGACGCTCTCGGCTTCTGGCTTCAGCCTGGCCCAGCCCTGGTCATTGATTCTATTTGGGAATCAGCAGATGGAAGATACTCTCTCTCTCTCTCTCTCTCTCTCTCTCTCTCTCTTTCTGTGTGTGTGTGTGTGTCTCCCTCTCTTGCTGTAACTGACTTTCAAATAAATAAACTTTTAAAAGATGTTAAAGGAAGTTCTTCAGACAGAGGCAAATGATATCAGATGGAAATTCAAATCAGCAAAGAATGAAGATGGGCAGAATTGGTGAAAATATGGATAAGATGAGTTTTCCTCAATTGTAGTCTATTCCTTGCTCCTCATGCACCTCTGCCAGAGGCATTCTGGTGCAGCCTTGTACCTAAGCAGGTACTCCTTCAATGCCAGCTTGGCTAGCACCAGGTTCTCAGGCCTCAGGGCCAATGCCATTGAAATCACTTCATAAAAGGGCAGATGCTTAGTCTGGAAGTTAAGATGCCCCCATCCCACACCCAAGTGCCTCAGCTTGATTCCCAGCTCCAGCGTCTGACTCCAGCTTCTTGCAAATGCAGACCCTGGAAGGCAACACTGATGGCTGGAGTTGAGCCCCTACCACTCATGGAGCAGACTTGAATGGAGTTCCTTGTTCCCAGCTTAGGCTCAGCCCAGCCCAGGCTGTTGTGGGCATTCGGGGAATGGGCCAGTACTTGGGGATGCTCTTTCTGTCTGCCTCTCACATACATACATACAGTCATACATACATGCAATCATACACATATACAATCATATACATTTTAAAAATATTTTATTTATTTATTTGAGAGGTAGTTACAGGCGTGAGAGGGAGAGACAGAGAAAGGTCTTCCGTCTGCTGGTTCACTTCCCAAATGGACACAACTGCTGGAGCTGAGCCAATCCAAAGCCAGGAGCCAGGAGCTTCTGGGTCTCCCACACAGGTGCAGTGGCCCAAGGACTTGGACCATCTTCTGCTGCTTTCCCAGGCCATAGTAGAGAGCTGGATCAGAAGAGGAGCAGCTGGTAGTAGAACTGGTGCCTATATGGGATGCCAGCACTGCAGGTGGAGGACTAATCTACGCCACAGTGCCAGCCCCCCATACTTTTTTTAAATAAAAGAAATCACTGCGTGGGAACAGATGCTGGCCCACCAATGACAGACTGCGTCACCCTTCCATCCCTCCAGCCTCAAGAACTTCAAAGGAGGCTCTTGCAGTGTCTGAGATAATGGTGGCTGAGGAGAGGATGTGTAAATCAGAAAGATATTTAGGGATAAAATGGGCAGGACTTGGGTGTGCATTGCAGAGAACTGGAGGAGAGGGAATTGCTCAAGAGGACTCAACTACAGGCTTGAACCGCTGGGTGGATGGCTGTGTGGCTGAAAGGGAGACAGAGGAGAGAGGATGTGGGTGTGACATTATGCCAAAACTGGTAAGCTTATTTAAAACATAGGGTAAGAAATGATGGCTTTCAGAAACTGTCAGCTACAAAGAGCCCTGACTACAAGAGAAGAAGGCAATGTGGGATAATGTGACCAGAACACGTGATTGCTGGGGTTGAATGTGAAGAACAAATAAAACGGAAATCATGCATTAAGCACAGGTTCTGAATTCATATACTGCATTTTACAAAGCTGAAAACAGAGCCCCTCCCAGGTCTGAGGGACAGTCATAAAGTCTACGTTACGACAGCAAATGTCTTTTGATCTGAAGTCAGTTCGCCCAGGTGTTGAATCAGGAATTTTCCTTACTGCTTGGAGAGTTAGCCTACCTCT